TACAAAAAATCATAAATACAGTCAATCATCTATATAGAATTTTATGTGTAAATTATATATATCCTTATTTACAACAATACAGATGATTATCCATTATCAACACACTATTAATAAGAACAGTCTGTTCTTTTTTTTTTATTGCATTTTCTATGCTGCAACAATTATTTTCTTTATTTCTCTTTATTTACAATTAAGCCTCGTATACTAATTTATTTCATTTTAAGCACAGAAATTGCATCTTAAATTATATTACAAAATGTTCTTTTTGAGGAAAATTTTACTGGAAGTCCATAATAATGTAACTATACATGAACTATAGATTTTCGTAACGTGAACGTAACATGAACTATCGATTTTCAATAAAATTTTCTTTCAAAAGAACATATGTTTGTATATGGAATGCAACTTTAGTGAAACTTAAAAACAGATCTATAACCTACTTGATCAAGGAGCATCTGCACTATTTCAACATTTCCTTTGTAACAGGCATGCTGGAGAGGACTCATGCCATTTTCGTCAACAAAATCCATTTTGACTTTATTCGGCGCCAATAATGTCTTAAGCTCACATACTTCATTTTTACTGATTTTTGTAAAAATATCTCTCTGTAAATCTGTGAGACCTTCGGTACCGGGCGCCATGTTGTATGTCATTAGGTTTGTTCTTTATGGCTGCGTTATGATCCTTCCTTCTTTCAATATGTGACTTCCGGTAATTGAATAAAGGTACCAATACATGGTGGGAGGGAGCGGTGCACTTGGACACGGTGCATTTGGACACAGCCAATCACAGCACCGTGTGATTAGAGACATTTGTAGGGTCCCTTGGAACAGCGACTTGTGATTGGACTGTGTTCAATTGCCCCGTGTCCAACTGATACACACCCTAGGGTGCGTTCAGATTCCTCATCCAGGTGCACTCTATAACTAGAAACACTATAGTATATGTGACATATACTATAGCACTTCTAGTAATAGAATACACTCGGGTGGAGAATCAGAACGCAGCCCTACATGGGAGCGTTCCAGCGTCGAGCGTTAAAGCGTTAGCCAATCAACGTATCAGGTCCCAGAAATATACTTGTAGTTCTTGCGGAAAGTGGCACGTTGATTGGCTACCGCTTTAATGCTCGACGCTCGATGCTCCCATGTAAAAGTACCTTAAGGGTGCCATTACATGAAGCGCGGAAACCTTTGACTATATAACCATGGCCGCTAGCCGCTATCTTATGTTTGCAGCAAAACATCTGTCAACATCTGCAGCGCCGCTAGAACCAAATAACGTCTATCACGTAAACTATCACATACTTGTGATTTCTATTTTACTATGTGAAAGATATTTTGTGTGAGTCCGTGATCATAAATTGCAGTTATCATTAAAATACATGAAAAATTATTAATATTTCTTTAATCGTCAATAACGGACTTTTTCATTTTTTCTTCAAATAAATTATTACATTAAAAAAAAAGTTATACAACTTTGCTATAATATAAAAATTAACAATTTTTAAAGTAACAAGAAAAAAAATCTGATTTGTAAGGAAAATATAAAATCACAAAATAAGATATTTATATAATTTCATACCAAATTTACTATATTACATAAGAATATAAAATATTTATATAAAAAGATATATAATATATGAATAAAAAAAAATATATATATACCATATATATATATATATATATATATATATATATATATATATATATATAT